TATATATATATATATATATATATATATATATTCACACACACACACACATACATACACATACATACATACATATATATGATGTGTGTGTGTGTGTGTGTGTGTATGTATGTATGTATGTATGTATGTATGTATGTGTATTAGTCTGCCAAAAAACAAAAGGTACCATTCTTGCATTCATCACCAAAAACACACACATTATGTTTGTGGCAACAGAGAGGGGCAAAAACTAATTTTTAATTTACAAAGCAGTTGTGGAAATTGGACAAAAATATTTGGTGAAAGTCCTCCACCATGTTCTGAAAGATCTCTGGGGATGGCCTAATAAAATTTTCCCTGAAAGCATGCATGAATATGGGGAAAGCCAGCTGAGAAATGAACCCTCATTGCTGTTATCTTGCCATAACAAGTTGCTTAAATCCATTCATCTGCCATCCAGAATACTTTGGGAAAAGACCCAATGTCACATTGCAGAATTTTTGGGATGTAGCTTTAGCTTTCTCCAAGGTCATGCCTCTGAAGTTTCATAGATTTGTCAACTGAAGGGATGCTGAGGAAGGCCCAACAGATTGATATAACTAATGAATGGCTGTCTTTTCACTTACAAGAGAGGGATAGGAATGGGCTGATGCAAACAATCTTACTTTATTCTCCCTGTCTTAGCGATTGCAGTCTGTACCAAAAATATGCCAGCATGTCTTAAATGGCTCTGTACATTTTAACAGAGTCACCATAATAATTTAGCTTTATGGAAATTCAAGACTTTTCCTAGCATGTTTGTGCTCACTGCACCCTATGATCTTATGTCCTCAGATCTCCATGGGAAATTTTTCATGAGAAAGACATCTAAAATAATGAGAATTCATACTACCAATGCTTGGAAGTCTGAACAACTAATGACCTATACTTTCTATCTGGAAAGTGTCGTTTTTTTAAAAAAAAACCTGGATACAATAAATAGTTCCCAAACTCCAGCAAGGATTCAAAGGAGGGAATATATTACTTACTAGATCTATTGATAACTTCAAAATGTATATACATCACATACAGTGTGACTATCGTTGAACTCTGAGTGAGAGTTGCAAATGTAGCATTCATAAAATACAGAATTGGTTTAATGAATTGCAGGTGAATGCTACATTTATATTCTTGCACACTCTGAAACACCATTTTGGAATTGAATCAAAAATGCTGCACAACCTTGATTGGATGTGAGAACTTATACACTTGTTCTTTTGAATATATCCTAGAAATTCTTTTAGGATTTTGTAAGTGAGTTCTAATAGGAAATTTAAATCCATAAATAATGGGATTAGTACAAAGAGTTGTGTGCATGGGAACTGTTTTGCTGAAATCAGCATTAAAATATTTTTATAAACTAGATTGCACATTTCTAAGTTCCAAAATACAAATAGATACATATACATATGCATATGCACAGACATACATATATACATATACATATACATACACACACATACACACACACAATGTTTATTACTTCAACAACATCTCTTGAAATGATGTTGAAATTAAACAAGAAGGAAACATCACTAACCTGCACAAGAACAAAGTAGCGCTTTTTCCATCTTTTCCAAACTTTTTGTCCAAGGGCATACAAATACCTGTTAAATGTGAAGACAAATCATTCTCAGTTAAAAACCTTGCAATGAAATGGCCACAAATGAACATGAATGAAACAGTGTTTCGGAAGAATGGAGGAGTTTTTGTTATTGGATTCCTGTATGTACTTATGCTTAACATATAGATGGATACATTTTGATGCATTCGTTATTAGTACTACTAACATTTTATATAGGGAGCATGCAACATAAATAATTTTAGTCCTAATTCAAAACAGTATTGAAAAGTAAATCAGTGTTATATCATATACTTCACATGAAAACTGAGATTTAGGAACTAAGGCAACTCTATTAGTTTATAGCAGAGGCAAGATTTGAAATGGAGGTTTTCCAGCTCATAGTTCATGTGGTGTTTCAAGAAGAAACTTGTGAGTTTATAGTTGTTGCCTTTCAGAATGTTATTGAATTTTCAATCAATCTTCTCCAATCTGGGGCCATGTAGAATTGTTGGGGCTACAACTTCAAAGACTTCTAGGAAAGATAATCTCAATATGTCTAGAAGATCACAGGTTGAAAAAAACAGGAACTAAAGATAACTTACTAAGGTTTTATGGCTGATATATAATAAACTCAGAGCAAACATTAGAGCAGTTTTTTGATTGCAAGAAATTTGCAGGATCTCAAAAAATATGCAATTGAGTTAAACAATTGTTATGAAAATGGCAAAAGAACATAACCATAATGTCAGTGTTCCAAATATCATCCAAAATTAAATCAGAGTCTGAGGCAAATGATTCCTCAAAGTTCCAATTTATTAAGAGAGCCATGTTAACACATCTGGGAAAACCTGAATCTGAAGGCTTCCCGGTTTCCCCACCAAGTTGAAAGTTCAAGATCTTTCTCCCACACCCACAAGACCATCACATGGTCCAATCTTCCACTGCCATGCTGGCAGCTTCCACCCATCCAGTTCTGGTCAGGTGCAGAGGTGCAGAGACAAAGGATGACCTTGGCTTTTTAGAAATAATTTTGTTATGGCTACATGGCATCTAACTCTGTACAATCCCGTCCCATTTTCCCACAGTAGAAAATGCATAGTAGAATAATAGAAAGTGTGGCAGGCCTGAGGTCCAAAAGCAAATAAGACTTGCAGACCTGACATGTACATCAACAATCTGTTGCTTCCTCATTAACTTGTTTCTACTAGATGAGCCCAGAAAGCACCAACAGATAATGTACCTGCACTGGATCCAAATAATTGTTCTCTGCTTTGGAACTTAAAACTATACATTTCTAAAGCATGTTTTTCCTTCAAATGCACTACATTTTTCAGCAAACTCTGAATCAATTTATGAAATATATTTATGTTATTTGCATATATACTCAATCACTGCTTAGAGCTCCATAGCCAATAATTTGTTGATTAAATAATGATTGAGTTACTGTTATTGTGCTAAGCCATTAATTCACAGAGTATATAATTGATTATCTGTATTAGTGTCTCTTACTACAACAATGTATTCTAGATACTTCTACAATGCTTATCTTCTTAAAAGAGGTAATAAGGTTTTCCCTGTCTATGGGTATGCTACATTCTGACAAAATATATATCTAAAACAGGAGTCAGTGACTTACAACCTCTAGGCTCTTGGGATTTTTAGATTAAATTTTAGCATTTAAATTACCTGAAGTAGGAAATATAAGAAAGCTATAATGCAACCTCTAATACAGGCATACCAATGAGAGCGAGAGGAAGGGTGGGAGAGAGAGAGAGAGAATCTTTATAAACGCTGTTTTCCCAAATCACAGCTATATGTATTCATGAACTGGCCTTATTTATTAAATTTTTATGACACCCATCTCACTATTAAAAGTGAGTCTTATCTTGTTTATAGCTTTCAGCCTTGTCAAAATGTTAATGCTGTCCTTATAAGGGGACCCATCACTACTCCAAGACAGTATTATGCCCCTAATTGAAAAGTTATCCATACAAGTGAAGAAAGATGAAACTGACTTAATCATAGAATGATACTAAGAAAATTTTGGCTTCACCAACAGACATGAGATGGTAGTAGAAGCCATTGTGCTCAGTCCTTATGAGTAAATCTTGAATTGGAGTCTCATCCAACCACCCAATGGAAAAGCTGCCAGTTTTCTGAAAAGGGTCAGAAATCAATGAACAGATGGATGTTTGAATACCCTGAGAAGCACCCAGTATATGCAATAGCAATAGCAATAGCAGTTAGACTTATATACCGCTTCATAGGGCTTTCAGCCCTCTCTAAGCGGTTTACAGAGTCAGCATATTGCCCCCNGTTTGATCTCTGATGCAGCAGGAGATGCCACTGGAGCGGCCTCGTGTGTAGACGAGCCTAAGGCACCATGTCTATGCAAGAAATGAATTTCCCCAGCAAGCTGGAGAGCACTACTACAGGAACAAAACGTTGACTTCTAACTTGTCTAACTAAGGCTAACAAACTAACTTTACGGTCGTGGGACAGGAACACCTTCCCCAGCTTAGAGTCTATGATGATCTCCAGGTGAGGAATCCTGGTGGCAGGAACGAGGGAACTCTTATCTAGGTTAACTGAAAAACCTAACTGCTGTAGTGTGGATACCACCAATGAAAGATCCTCCCTCGCCCACTCAAACGATGCTGCTTGGACTAAGATGTCATCGAGATAGCATTGGACCCTGACAGAGTGAAGGTCCGAGGCGCCGACACCAAGCCAAACGGTAGGGTCCTGTACTGGTAGTGGCTACCAAAATAGGAGAACCTGAGATACTTACGATGGCCAGGGAAGATGGGGATATGGAGGCAAGCCTCCGTCAGGTCGATGGAGTCCATGAAGTCATTGAGCCTGACCCCTGCCAAGATGGATTTAAGCGATGCCAACTTGAATCTTCTATAGACTAAGTGAAAATTTAGCAGTTTAAGATTCAGAATTGCCCTCCATCCCCCTGAATTCTTCGGAACGACAAAGAGGTTGGAATAGAAACCTGACTCCACTTGGTCCGGTGGAACCGGTTCCACTGCCCTAATCTCTAGGAGGTGTTGGATCGCCTGCCTCATGAGAGAGCATTTATCTTTACTCTTGGTGATCGAAAACATCCGAAAGTGGTTCGGCGGAATGGAGAGAAGCTCTAGGCGCAGGCCAAATCTGATGGTATTCAGAACCCAGGGGTCAGTGGTAATCTCAGCCCAGGTGTCGACAAACAGAAGCAGTCTGCCATCTATGGGTGGGGTCGCTATTGACCTATCTGCCCCGGTGGTAGGGATGGCCACCTCCCCCCCAAAAGGACCTCTTCCCCTGGGGTTGGAACCTGGGCCTATCCCTGGTGTAGTGCCTATCCGACTGCCTATCTGATCTCGGAAAATACCTGCGCCTCCTGATCTGACTGACGATAGGACTGCTTCCGAAAGTAAGGTGCAGATTTTTGCTCCGACTTCTTTGTGGGCATAGGCTTGACCCTCTTTTATTCTTGTCCTTAACGAGGATTGGGTCCAATGGGGTACTGAAAAGGGATCCCCCGTAATAAGGCGATGATGCCAGGTGCCACTTTGCCTTGTTCTCCAATTGCCATCCCCTCAGCCACAGGAGATGTTGGGAGGTCATCGAGGTCACCATTGCCCATGAGGTAAACTTCATGGCATGCAGAGTGGTGTCTGCAGAGAATTGAGCAACAGCAACCAGCTTGTTGAGATTTTGATGAGTATGCACTTCCTCAGGCAGAATCCTTTCCTGCATCTGTTGTAGCCAAAGGATAGCCATGCGGCTGAAGAATGACGCAGAGGCAGCTGCCTTGATGGCCCATGCAGAAGACTGGAATGTTTACGAAGGGTTAGCTCTGCCTTCTTGTCCTTGGCCTTTAAGTAATCAGCCACATCACCGGACACCACCGTTGATGTGGATGCCAATGCCTCACTGGAGGGTCCACTGTGGGCACCTGCAACGCCTCAGAGAAACTAGGTTCCATTTTAAAGAACCTCCTATCACTGCTGCCGGGGTTGGGAAATGGTCCTCTAGGAACAACTTAGGGGCAGGGATGTCTTCCTTCGCTGGAGGAGGCTCTGAGTAAACTCAATCATCTGGCTTTTTCTCTGAACCATCCTCCTTGGCACCCTCCATCTCCACCCAGTGTGCACTGTGGCCCTGGCCTTGTGCAACAGTGACTTGAACAAATCCGGAGGAAAAAGACCAGAGAATGCTGGTGCCTCAGGTTTTGAGGGATCCTCATCATCAGACATATCTACCTCTCTCTGAACCTGATCCCCCACCATGGAACCCTCGCTAGCCAGAGAAGGAGAAACAGGCAGGCGCACCTCCAAGGGGGAAGGCCTTGGCCTGGCCTGAGCAGTGCATCCTCCCCCCAGGAACCTTTGCCACCATTGCGGGTCGCACAGACCCCTTCTGTAACCCAGCAGAAATTCCATGTGAAACTGCAGAGGAGATAAGCCTCTGAATGCTTGCTGGAAGCTGTTCCATGTCTCTAACAAAGGAATCCTCCTCCTCCTCTTGTGCACAGCCTTCAGACTGTGGAGCCAATGATGGCCTGATGGGACTATCCCCCCTGGCCCCCCTGCACTGAAAAGGATCCCTTAGATAGGAGCCCTGTTCCACCATGGAAACTGGGGAGGGGGGAAGGCGAAATGTCCCTGAGATACACTGGGGAATCCCCCCTGTGAGGAGACCTAGATCTGGATCTAATGGGCGATCTAGACCTCAAGGGAGAACTA